TTTTTTTTTTTTTTTTAAAGAGACCGCTGACCTCTGTGGCCTTGTGAGATCCTAGGAAAGAAGACATATCCATATGTCCTGGCACAGGGGTTTTTTGGAAAATTGGAAAAGTCTGCAAATTCATCAAGGCCTTGTGTGAGCACTGAAAGACATATTAATTATACCTATATTATACATAGGGTCTCACCAAACTTCTCCACACACAGCACAGCAGTGGTAGTGACCCTACAGGTGACAACTGCATTATAAGAACAAATAGCTGGTGTTCAGCTTAATCACATCAAACATTATTGAAAAGAAGAAAATAATAAGAAAATACCATTTCTTATTACCAGATTTTCTCAAATCCAACATGAGGTTACTTTTCCCATTCAACATGGTGAAAATAAAGCCTGTTGTGAATTTGTGTACAAGGTGAGGAACAGGCAACTCTGCAGCTCTGGGTCAGAACTGGTGCTGAAACCACTACCCCACTGCTTGCCTCTGTGATACCCTGCCCCCACCTCTTCCACCTACCTCCTCCCCCACTGTTGTTTAGCCTTCATCCTGGCTCCAGCTCTGGCCCCACTTAATTCTGGCTTCGCAGCAGCAGTTGTATCAGTGGCCAGAAGATCCAGCCCTAGCCCCAGCCTGGGCCAGAGCTGGAGCCAAGGCCAGGACCAGAGCTTCTGCTGGCATAGCCACTGCTGTGTGGCTGGGTTGGGACCAGAACCATCATTCTCAGCACTTCAGGTCAGATCAAGGCCAGTACCAACGATAACTAGTGGCGGGGGCGGAGGGGCAAGCAGCAGGAAGGACCAAGTCAGGGGCCAGATGCCAGGGGGTAGAGGCACCACAGGGAGGCAGAAACAGGGCAAGTGGTAGGGAGGACAGATAGCAGGGGCCAAGGTGCAGAAGGGCAAGGAGTGGACATCAGGCCAGTTGACTTCCCCACTACCTGCCCCTGCTGCCACTGCTTTCCTCACTGTAGCAATGGGGGGTATGATTTAAGATGAACCTCCAATAATTAGATTCTATACATGGAAAATTATAACAAATTTATAAATTTTCCATTTCTAGAGCCTAATTATTGGGGAGTCATCTTAAATTCAAAGTCATTTTGGATTCACATAAATATAGTAATCCTCCTACTGGTTCCCACCATGGGGGACTGTGCTATTTAAATGAACAGGGATTTCATAGATTCATAGATGTTAGGGCTAGAAGGGACCTTAAGAGATCATCGAGTCCAACCCCCTGCCTAGGCAGGAAAAAGTGCTGGGGTCAGATGACCCCAGCCAGGTGCCTATCCAGCCTTTACTTAAAGATCTGCAAGGTAGGGGAGAGCAGCACCTCCCTTGGAAGCCCATTCCAAATTTTGGCCACTCTTACCATAAAGAAGGGTTAACTGGGGATACACATACCCCTGG